AGATTAATAAATTTGAATAACAGTTATTTTCATATTTGTTTACAGTAAGTGATAAGATAAGTGCATCAAATCGACGTGAATTCAAGTTAACTCATTAATTTGTAGTTTTTTTAAGTACATCAATAAAATTATAAAAATAAATACAAAAGTGAAGTGAAAGTCAGAATTTTAGATTGAGTGTTTTGTAAGTAAAACTGTAATTATAAATCTCAAAGAGTTTTTTGTCAAAGAATAATAAAAGGTATTTTGATAAGTCATTGATTTAACAGTGCCAATAATTTTTAAAAATTTTTCTTCAATACCTATATTTTATTATTTTATTTATTAAAAGTATAGAGTATTAAAAATATTAGAAATACCTGTACAACTTTAGAAGAACTATGAATTTCTTGAAGTGTGAAGTCAATAAGTTCTATTAAACATTTGGCGTGTTCCTTTACATCGTAACATTTATAAGATGTAAATCCATCGATGATAGAAGTTTTTTGAAATAGTTCCTTGGCTAGCAAATTTTTTGCTATTAATGTCCTCAAAAATATTACAATTATAAAAACTTGAGGTATATTTATATCTTATATGTTATGCAAATTTTAAGATGAAATAACAATGTTATGTAAATTTGCATAATAACTTATGCTTTATTGTAAAAGCTGTACTCAGCAATTATCTTTTTTATGAAAATCAAAATTCTGCTTAAATGGAAAAGTTTAAAAATATTTTTCTTTCTTGAAAAATAAAAGTTGTTAATATACAAATTATTAGTCTAAAAACAATTAAAAAATTGTTTTCTAAAATTTGAGCAGTATTTAGTTATCAATAACAATTTATTAGTAATGAATTGAGTTTGGTGCAAAGATGTTTTGACGTGAAATTTTTAATCTCAAAACTCACTAAGGTTAAAAGTCAAACTATACTGTTCCTATTTCGTTTCAAATTTGCATCAAGTACAGTAATTAAAGTTTACTTGATTAATTATAAGCATTGGCATAAAAATAAATAATTATTAACTGAGTTATACATTACTAAACATGAAATTGCGAAAATTTAATTTATAATTAAAAATGAATAAAGTTGAAAGTAAGTAATTTAGACTACATTACTTTGAAAACTATCCTCTTTTTTGCAGAAAAGTTTTACTTAAATGGGAATTGAATCAATTTTATATAATTGAATTAAAACAATTTAAAATATATAACACACCGAAAAACAGCCATGAAAAAACTGGATGAACAGCGAAGTCTTTGCCAACTCTTTTGCAGTAATTGAATTTGATGACTGAAATTTAATTACTTATTAATTATTAGCTGAAATAGGCTCAGATAAGAATGAAATTTTACTCTTGTTAAGCAAATAAATATTCAAATGCTATCAATCCTGAAATAAAATACTTTTTATAAATTGAAATTTTTACTAATAATTATTTATTGATGAATAACTAACAACACATTTAAAAAAGTATTTTTTTAATCAACGTTATCAATATTAATTTTATTAATAAAAATTAGGACTTGTTAACTCACTGAGCAATTCAATTAATACTGTAAATAAAATTATTACATGTTTTAATAATTAAATATCATTTAAGAATATATTAATATGCATATTAATACGCATATTAATACGTAATATTCATATTGAATAGTAATATGCATATTAATACCGTTGCTTTTTTGTATTATTTATTTGCTAGTTTTCAATATAAGAAAAAGTATAATTTATTCAAATTTCAGTACATAAACTTTGGCGATAATTTGCATTCTACCGCGCAGATATTTAATTAAAGCATTTCTGTCATATCAAAAGCTAATGCTATTCCACGTAATGCTACAAAAAATGTTTATGCATTTTTCTCAAAGTAATTATCACTGAAAAGGAAAAAAAAAACGCATAATTTATTCAATTTTCGATCTAAGTTAACGAATGATAAAAATGCTTCATTAAGCGTAAAAATTTGATGCAAAAAGTTATCACAGCTTTTCAGTTCTACTTTCTAACTATTACAAATGGTGGATGAGCTTTTTATGAAAAAATAGCAAAAATATATGCAAATTAATTGCCTTATCTCATAACAATATTGATTTGTGATAATAAAAATGATAAAAATTTAATCTCTAAATTTTTATTATAACTTTTGCATGCTTTATTCTTACAAACAATTTGCCTTTTTTATTTAAAAAACTAAAAAATTTGTATACATACTTTTGTCAGTATATAATTACTTAATTTTATCAAATTTTTATATCAAAGCTTACTTTTTTAAATTCAAAGTTTTATAACTTGCGTGTTATCAATTCAGTGTTTGTTTTGATAGAATATAAATTAAATTTTGAAAAAACAATATTTTTTAGGTATCTAATTTTATAGTAATAAAACAGTGTAATACTTAGGAGTGAAAAATGTTTATTT